TCGAGGGTAGGAAGGTTCTACAGAGGGATCTGGACAGGCTGGATCGATGGGCCAAGGCCAATGGTATGAGGTTCAACAAGGCCAAGTGCCGGGTCTTGCACTTGGGTATAATTGGGTTATCTGAAAATTCAGCATGGAATAAATAACTCATTAATAAAATTAGGACACTAAAACCGTTCTTTTTGCTTTTAATACCTTAAAAGTTATTTGTCGGGTGCCATCTGTCAAGAATTCATAATGGATATACAATAAAAGTATATAAACCCTGCCACCTGTCAACTTAAAAGCAAGGAAAATACTGAGATGCTTTTGAAGCTAAAAAAGCTCTGATTAATAATATTAAAGATTCTGAACAGGTTATTTAACATACCATAATAATTTATTTAAATAAAAAACTGGCAGATTTTTAAACTGTTCAGTGTATGAAACCTTAGATGGACTCTTAACAGTTTATCTGTTAAAGGAAAGTTTTATATATTTAATTAAAACATTTTGAGAATCTTGAACTCAGAATTAGGAGGTATGTGTAATGCAGCAATGTTTCTGTGTCATATTTTCTTGATCGTTGCCTTGTAACAGAGCTTTCATCCTGTTTAGCCCTATGTAAAGAATGAAGCTACAAGATGAAGAGGCTAACTTCTCCCTTAGGTGTAGATATGAGCCCTTCTACTTGCAGAAGTAAATGAGAATATTTATAACTCAATATTTTAACTTTGCTTTGAAATAAAAATAATCTGCCTTATGGTGGATTTACCAAAAGTTTACCAAAATAAACTTTATCCTACCTTTTGTGGATATCAGAGTTTGTAATTCTTCGATAACTTTGCTTTGATCGCACCAGATCTAGAATTATCATCAAATGGCACTCTGGAAAAAAATATGTTATAGAAATGGTATTTGCCCTAATAATAATGCCCAACATAATAAATACAAGTAAATCAGGCCTTTTTTAAGTTAATGACTTTCTTGAACACAGTCTAAACAACTAATATAAGATTTATATATTTCAGCCAAAATTGTCAAGTATTAAGTAAAAGAATACTAATAAAGTAACCCTAACATTATTTAATGTAACTTTGCTACACTTTTCCACAGTGTTTTGCAGGTTTTTTTTCCTCTGCCACTTTAGTATAACTAATAATGAAGTCCACATACCATCTTATTACAGGCTAATGCCCTATATAACTCAATTCTGCAGTTATAAACTCTTGTAAGATGGAGGTATGGAAATGTTATCTACCACAGGTCCTCTCCACAAGTTAGGACCAAGTTACATCTCAAACATTCCTTATTTTCCTTAAAGGCCCCCAGTGAAATAACTTAAAATATTCTTAGAATTAAAAAGCTTTCCCTACTGTTTGGTTTGCTGCAGCTTAAACCTGTTACTTATTCTCCTAACCCAAGCAGATGAGAAGTAAATCACCTTTCTGCTTGGAAAGCCTTTGACATACTTGAGAACTATTATCATGTCTCCCCTCAACATGTCAATCTTTCCTCCTAAAGTATGTTTTATATGCATATATATGTATGAATGCACATACACATTTATTAATAAAACTATGCACACAAATCTGTGGTATAGCCTTCTGACCACTCTTAACGTTCTCCACTGGTAACTTATTCTATTTGGTCAATATTCTTCTCCAGTTGAGACCTTTGCAAAACTAAGTAGAGTGCAGAATTATTTCACATATCTTGCAAATGACACTCCTGTATAGTTACCCCTATACAAAGCTTTGGGTTTTTTTTCCCTAGCAAGATGACGTCGTTTAATTTGTGATGCACCTCTTGACTCTATTCTGTAATTCTGCCCCTTAAGCTGTCATTCCCTAACTTATTAATGTTTAAATTATTATTTCTGCTTAAGCATAACACCTCCCTCTAGCTCTTCCTGAATTACACCCTGTTAATTATCTCCATAAAGCAAGGTTAATTTGCATTCTAATCCTGCATTTCAAGAGTTGCTGAACCTCTTTTTCAGCCTGGTCTCATACCCAGATTCAGCAATGATATACTCTATTTCATCATGCAAATGACCTACAACAATATTTAATAATATTGGGACCACGTTAGAGCCCTCAGAAACCTCAGACACAGTTCATAGTTATTAATAAAAGTACTTTTAACATGAAGGTTGGCTCAACAACAGATTCAAACTCAGTCTGCAAGACAACAGTAATTTTACCAGCTAACAAGTAGAAGTCGTGTAGGTGGTCAGAAAATAGAACAATCCTTTGAGGACTAAAATCAATAAATTTAAAATTAGTTTATTCTCCATTAAAGGAAATAAGATGCACTGGAGAATTAATCCTGGCATATTTTAAGAGCAGGACACAGGGTGAGAGTTAACAAGGTGCTCAGGAACTTTCCAAAAGTTGCCAGACTTGTAAATATCTGGCCTACCGACATCTGAAACCTCACTTTCAAGAGTGACCAATGTATATAGGAAGACATATTTTCTTGATTTACATATACATGTTTAAATCCCTTTGAAAAACACCACTTCCTGAAGAAGCTTCCTGTTACTTGCAGGGCTTCACAACCTGATGTGTACTGTCCTTCTGAATTTTACATCTCAACACAATATAGATGAAAGCTAGCAATTCAGCTACCCTGACAAATTCAGCACAACTCCAAAGCTGAGCTTCGTCCAGATGTACAAGGGGAATAGGAGGAGAAAGGAAGATTGTGAATCCGAAAAAACAGTCCTGAATCTAAGCCTTATGCTACAACACCAGAAAGGCTAATTAGTTGTGAAGAAGCAGAGAAAAAAATACCTTCTCAGAGTCTACAAATGCTCCATAATACCAGAGAAATCATTCAGTATTAACCCAGTCTCGACAGACAATTCTGCTTTGCCTGAGAGGAGACTGAGGAATTTTGGAGAAGTGGTACTGCAGAGGTTGTTCTTAACAATAAAAAATACTTTGCTACCAAATACTAAATTCCATAGAAAGGGAGGGGAGTTACTGGGAAAACCATCAGATGATGACTCAATTTTTGGAACTTAAGAAATTCCAACATTTGGAAGTGGAGAAGGACTAAACTTATTTGTGAGGAATAACAGGGAAGCTGTGCAATAGAATAAAATCTACATAATGCAAAGTTTTTCCGATTAAAACCCTGGATCTTGAAAAAAGCCCTTAATTGCTAACATCAATACTGTGATAATCATACAGTATGAAATAAACACAACTGGGAACAAAAGGTGGTGTAATTAAAAAAGTATTTTTCAGTTTGCTTATCTCACTTGGGATGTTCATAGCAACCAGTCTGTTGAGTAAAATTTGAGACATTAGTCTCTCCATCCCATAGAATAGAAATGCACTGCAGGTTGTCAGCAGCTGCTCCCATTCAGCTTGGCTGAAAGGAAGGAAGAAGAAAGGAAGGAAGTTACTTTTGTGTTACTATTTTAAAAGAGTATTTTTCAGAAATTATCCATAGCAAACACTTCAGTGTTATTTACTCCAGAAGTATTTATAAGAAAAGTCAGCATGCAAAGCAAGGAGACAAAGACGACTGCAGAATTCTATGGAAAGTGTAATAACTCATATGAACTATTAATAATAATTATTTTAATACAGAGGTATAGTTAGTTTATTAACATCATAGTAAACAAGAGACACTGTATTTTTAGATAAATACCAGACTCTCAAAAAAAAAAAAAAAAGTCATCGATGTATGCATTGTACATCTTTGAAATAACAATATTCAGCCTAACGTCCAATGGGAGTATTCATGTATGCACCCATCAGGATACGAAGAAATTAGGTTTTGAAAAGAGATGCAAATAATCAGCCTAGCTGGCAGCAAAAACTATGCAATTTGATAACAAGTAACAATCTTTGTAATTGTTATGAAGAAACACTAGAGTACCTACACAGTGATTTTACCGAAGTAGAGAAGATTTCAAAGGACTGATTAAAGTAGCAGTTATAAAGGAAGGTCCAGTGATGACTGTGTCGACTCACAGGACTTGTCACTGCTTGACCTCTCGAGATCCCTTTTATCCCTCTATTTCTATGATCTTAAAAGTACTTCTATAAAGAACGAAGTGTGTTTATGAATAAACTCCAGAAAATGGTATTAGTTTCACGATCAGATATTTGAAATTGTAAACTGTGAGATGCACCTTCACTACTTTGCTTCTGAAATCTGTGCTCCCATCTTACAGCTGACTCAATGTGCATGGAGATGCTATAGTTTTTAATATTTGGATTTAAAAACAGTTACGAGCAAAGCCAGAAATTACATTTATGCTCACATATACTTACAATAATCACCAAAGACTGTACCAGTAGACTTTTTGTCAAAATTGGATTATCTACATATACAGCAACTCTGATGCAACCAATCTGGCTAAATCACTTTGTGGCACTGTATTTCAGATCCCTAAAATATTCTGCACCCAATCTCTAAATCACTTTGTGGCACTGTGTTTCAGATCCCTAAAATATTTGTCTACAAATCTAAATATGCATTTGAAACAAAGACAATGGTTAGCTATGGGTTTACCAGCTCAGCAAAATGTGACCCTATTTTATGACTGAAGCCTCTGGGAATAGGCACAATTTTAAAAAAGAAACATGGATAAAACATGAAAGCAGACAGAATATTACAAACCTTGGAACACGTATGTTGCCAATAACTCCTTCCCACTGTAGTGTAAATAGATCATGGTATTTTTCTAGGATTTCCTTTATCTTTTGTGAAGGACTTAAAGCTTCTGTAACAATAGAATTTCATAATTATGAGCTTAACGTGTTACAAAGGACGTTGGGCAATCTTAATTTGAAACATTTTAAAATGACAATATAATGTTTAGGGATTTTTAGGCCATCATTAGATCTTAAGTTTTTTGTAACCTAAGTCTGGCTTTTAAAACTGTAGCAATTGTGACATTTTCTGAGTAAAACTGTTCGTAATTCTCATTTGAAATATATTTTATAACTGACAAGGATTACTCAGTAGACAGGTTAAAGACTTTAAAAGCACAAAGAAAAAATTTTAGATACCCTGAGAAAAGTGTAAAGAGTTGAAAACACCAGCACTGCTCATAGAGTTCTGTTCCAGAGGCTCAGAGAGGACTTAAGTAGATGAAGAAAATAACTGAGTTTCCAGTGCCCTGATTTCAGAAAGCAAGACTCCAAACCCACCTCTGCTCTCCAAGGACATTGCATATTTAATGATAATTCATTTTCTCTTTTTTGACTACATTTTCATACTACTGTAAATTAAAGATACACTCTGGAGCCAGATATTGAGCACATGGTAAACAGTGTTTTATTTTGAACTGCTGTGAAGGGGAAACTGCAAACATATGGAGTCATACTCTATTATGCTACTGATTGTTCAGTAGCTTCTTTTGCATTGAGTTTAGGTTTAATAACTATCTCAATTAAAAACCTCCATTAAATCAATTTTTGGCATTTGATATACATGTGAGTTTGCTAATGAATGTGAATCAGTTAAACTATTGCACACATTGGGAGAAAAAGTGAAAAAGTGAGAAGAAAGAAATAATAAGACAATCTGATTTCTTTCCTGAACCTGAAACAGGTTATATTGTTTCACTGATGCACCATTTGACAGGTGATAAGCAGTACTGTTCTGATGAAAAGCTAAGCTTTTTTGTCAACACCTTGATGTCATGACTTCATTTTCTGTTACAAAAATTTCTAAATTCCATGGGTCGTTTGTGGAGAAAACATTATTTAATATATATTACCTGCCTCTCTTCCTTCATTATAGGGGTCCACAATATCTGATAAACAGTTAAGTGTAAACAATGCAATGTAAACAACAAAAAAAGAAAGTTTAACTGATACACTTAGCTAATAGTTTGTGAAAGGATACATTTAAAATTATGAGTGTCAACAGATAAGCAATTAGAGGGTAAATCACGATTAACTGGTGCCTACAATTAAAAAGAATACATATTCTATTACATGCAGAAGCCTCAATCAAATATTAACAGTATTGCATTCTTTGTGTCAAACAACTAACAAAAAAGATGTCCTAAAGTTTTGAAGGTAGGATTAAAAGCAGCATGATATTCAACTGCCAATGGAAACTAAAAGCATAAGCTATTCTGCATTATCTACAACGCATATACATACATTACATATATATACACATGTGCACGCACATATATAGATATATATGCATACATACATATATATTTATAAAAATATGTGCATACACTATATAAAATATACTATATTGTTGGGGGAAGTATTTTAGTAACTTTAAACAGCTCCCTTGGTGAGTTGTTAAGTATGTCACATTTACACAGAGAGTATGATTTTTCAATGAAACAACAACTATCATTATTGCAAAATCAACAAGAAGCAAAATTCTTATGGACTTAACGTGACATTTATTCCACTTCAGAATTCTAGCATATATAATGAGCTTCTATGCAAGCCACTTGTAGTTCTTCAACATTTTTTACACAAAAAGAAGACCTACTCCTATCATGTTTACTTAAAAAATGTGGAAAGTTCACCATTTTGACATTCTTTTTCTGATGAGCTTTTGGTTTTGTTTCTTTAGACATTTCAACATCTGTTTTAATTTCAGTCTCTGTGGAATTGAAAAGAACAGATTTTTTTTTAAGATATAGGCAGTTTTAGAAAAATACAACTTTCTTGAAGGACTACTTATATTTGTTATGATGTAATAACACATTAAACTAGAAAAATAAAAATTAATTTCACATCACAGCAAGGCAAGGACATTCCCCAAACCCTCTTGCCTAAAAATAATGGCTTGAAAGTGGAAAATAAGCAAGAGATGTGATCCCTTAGACATGCAAGTGCTTCATTACATTGCAGATTTAGGACAGAGTTGAACAGTGGTTACCAAAGCACTTTCTAAGCCTACTGCCATATCTATTAATTGTTGATGTTACTGGAATAACTGAAGCTTCTGTGAGACGCAGAGACCGAAAGGAAAAAGGAAGTTTCATATTTGAATCTGATTTTTTATTTCTTTAAGGGATTTAAGAAAAAAAGCACAGAAAACTGACTTATATTTCTCACTGTATGTATGACTATCACCCAAAGTACATGTCTCAGCCAGTTATCACTGCAGTGCACTGCAAGTTGGCTGAAGTTTGAGATACGCATTATTACTCATATGGCTAGTGTTTCTCTCCTCATTCAGTGGCTACTTTCATAACTGCATGAACATAAACTTTTCAACTATGTTTCCTCTCATTTATCCGCTTCTAAAATTATGCAACCATAAGAAGTTTGACTTTAAAAAAGGGAAAAACAGAAGTAGAAAAGAAACATCCACATGTTCTAAAACTCCTATTTCTAACAGACCTGTAACAGTATATGAGTATGTATGTAGACAAAAAATACTCTAATCTCAGATTATTCACAATTTAAATTCAGTTTGGAAAGGAGGGGTGAAATGGAAAAACAGAGGACAGGTTATACTGACGGTGCTAAATATTACAGATATGAACACAATACAAGAACCTCTCTGGAACAGAATACTTTTATGGTACAGAGTGAGATTTTCTAAACTTAGCCTATTTTTTAGCTTAGGCCCACTAGTTTTAATAATTTAATTTGAGTAAAAATGTGTTTTTATCTATACATGAGCAAAATGTGACTTCAAATTTTTAGCTTTGGTAATAGAAGGTATCTTTGATTTATACAAAAAACTGCTTAGTGCCTGCATTTATTACTCACTTTTAGAATAAATAAGAAATTAATTTTAGGATGCCATAAGGACAAGTTTACCAACTGTCCAACCACCTCACTTAACAAACTCATTTCACTGAAGAGTTTATATAGGGTGCAAGTGTCTGCAGTAATGACAGAAGTCCATAAAGCCCGTGGGATCTGGTTTTGCTTATGCAGAGCACAAGAATCACTGGATTGACCTCAGCCCTTAATGTAATCTTAGCTGTACAGAGAGGAAGTAGCTCAATGATTAAAAGTTTTTTACATTTGATATTTTGAGCAAAGACTTACACTAATGTTAAAGGAAATTAACAGAAGTCTGAATTCTTATTTCAGTTTTTTCAGTGCAGCTGAAAACAGCTTTAAAGAGTTTAAGACCATACTTGTATAACTAAGACTTTGCAAGCCAATTTAGACTCCACCGTGTTTTACGTAATTCTTTAATATCTAGAGGTTATTTTACATTAGCTAGCATTGCAACTATAATCAGCCTGTACGTTACTGAAATAAGGCTACTGTACTATCTATTCCATCTAAAATACCGGAAACCTATTGTATGTGGCAGTCTTCCAGTAAAATATAATACACCATTCATATTATTTAAATTTTAAGCATCTTGTTCGCTGCATCATTATGCTAATGCAAAGAATTTTTATCTAATAGTACCTGATTCAGCCAGATGTACTCGATTGTAGAGAATCTGGAGAGAAAAATCTCTGGATACAGAACTTATTCCTTCCTATTTAAAGATACTCAGAGCTTCCAAAGGCAATTCCATAAATAATGTATCTGCTAGTAATACCACACACAATCCTAAATCCATAGGTGTACCTGAAGAAATGTGACAGAACATGACTGAGATTTAGTAGCTCTCAGTATGTACATAAATAATTGAAGTTAGATGTAAAAACCTATATTTCCTCTATTGTATGACACCTGAACTCCATTTTACTGTGGATTAAGTGCATTATGCAAAAATATTTCTTTTGATACCATTACTCCTAAGATGATGTCAAACTTCTATGCATATGCACTTGTGAGCACTTTCCCTTCAGAGGGAAAAATATCCCCATATTAATAACCAACCATCTCAGATCCAAGTCCAGGTGTATGCAATGTATTCAAGAAAATGATGTATCAGTCTATCAGTACTTAAAGGGGGCTTCTAAAAAAGATGGTGGCAAACTTTTTAGCAGGGCCTGTTGTGACAGGACAAGGGGGAATGGTTTTAAACTGAAGGGGGGTAGATTTAGACTAGATGTAAGGAAGACATTTTTTATGCTGAGGGTGGTGAAATGCTGGCACAGGTTGCCCAGAGAGGTGGTGGATGCCCCATCCCTGGAAACATTCCAGGTCAGGTTGGACAGGGCTCTGAGCAACCCGATCTAGTTGAAGATGTCCCTGCCCACGGCAGGGGGGTTGGACTAGATGACCTTGAGAGGTCCCTTCCAACCCAAACTATTCTATGATTCTATGATTCTATGTTTGGAAATGCAAAATTGCCTTAGCAGTGTTTGGCTAAACAGTATAGAGTTGTAAAGGAGCTCTTATCCAATACTAACTCTGTCTTTCTGTAGGAAACTTTTTGTTTCTGTTATTTAGAAAAAACCTACTGAATATCATTATGACAACATTTTCCTGTTCTACAGAGAAACAACAAATACATGGAAGACAAGTTATTCAGTCTTTGCAGAACAACAGAAGCAGCCAGCTGCCAGATTGCAGAAAGAAACTCTTGCAGGTAAAAGCAAATGCAAAGGTGTATCTTTTTTTAGTAATTTTTAATTGAGAAACTTCACTGCCTCCCACCATAAAGCAAAAAACTCATCCCCAAAGCAAGCCATGGACTTGATTGCCTCTTCTCTTGGAACGTGTTTAGGGACATATTCCAGCATTAGGCTTGCATTAAAGCAAACAACCCTTGAGAGTCCATAAAGTAAAAAGCAGGAAAAGACAAAACAAAGAGATCAACAGACTTAAGAAAGTTCTTTCTTTTGGCCTTTCTCCTGAAAAGACTGGTTTATAATAAAGCCATTTTATTCAGCTGTCTAAAGCCTGTATAGTTTCAAGACTGGTGGTGGAGCTGGAGCGTGTCCAGAGAAGGGCAACGAAGCTGGTGAGGGATCTGGAGAACAAGTCTTATGAGGAGCAGCTGAGGGAACTGGGGTTGTTTAGCCTGGAGAAAAGAAGGCTCAGGGGAGACCTTATCGCTCTCTACAA